CCCTAAACCTAACATAAAACCCTATTGAAACCCTAACCCTAACCCTACATCTTAGACGAAATAAAGCCCGGAGCAATTGTCGCAGGAGCAAATGTCGTGTCACCGAAAATGACATTTCAACGATAGTAAAATGTCTTTATCCTCGCTCACTTCACTAGATCACAAAATTTATCGCAATATTTAGGATCCAGATGGTATATTTTCGAGCAAGAGGCCCTCACGCGAAAATGTACCAAGCGTTTATAAGTACGAGGAATGGAAAACAAATGCTCTTTCATGCATTTTGGATTGGGGTGATGCGAAACGTTTTAAAACCTAAAAGGGTGCCGTGACTAAGAAAGGTTGAAAGAAGCTGATCTAGTAGATTAATGACTGGTGCCCCCACCCCAATGACTGAGCCCACGCTACCCTGATGATGATGATGATGATGAAGATGATGATGATGATGATGAAGATGACAATGATGATGATAATGATGATAATGATGATGATGATGATGATGGTGATGATCATGATAGTGATGATGGTGATGATCATGATGGTGATGATGATTATGATGATGGTGATGATGATGATGATGATAATGATTATGATGATGATGATGATGATGATGATGATGATTTTAGCCGACGTTTATTTTCATACTGTCACCAGTGTAGCCCTATCAACACTCCCGTTAAGCCGACGGGTCAAGATAAAAAACATTCTATTTATGATTCATCTCGACATAGTACATTAACACATATCAAATATTACCGTTTCCCCGAAAATCTTTAAAATACACATTGCCATTGTGAGTTCTCACTGTGCCTAATGGACGCCTTACGGGTTTCCCTTGTGATTTGGTGTATTACTCGTCATTCGTAATAAAGTCGTCGTCATTAGGAATGACAGTTTGAATGGGCGGCGGGGGGGGGACGTTGGAAAAAAGTTGCCCACAATAAAAGATAGTAAAAGGCTTTAGGAAACTTGGAAATCACGACTATGCAACTATTTCAATATGTAAAAAAAAAAAACCTTAATGAATGAAGAGCAGTTACATTTATGACTTTTAATTGTCAACTATAATCGAATTTAGGTACTATATAGGCTACGGATTCCCCACATACAGCTGCACCTCTAGAACAACAGCTATCTACCGTATATGCGACACCCCGTGTAATATTAATTCAATTGAAATTGCTGCCTTATATTACGAGCGCGATTACCGACAGACAGTGCCATTATCTTGATATTAAATTTCCTCTTCCTCGAAATATATGAAGGCAAATTGGAGTATTATGGGACCAGCAGCCATGATTCGCTGCTTCAAAGCGGCCTTCACAAACACAGACACATTAATTAAATCTGGAGTCGGCGAATTATGATCCAATATAAATGGACACTGACTACAATTTGGTTTTAATTACAAGGTGGCTGAAATGCAGGAGTACGCAGTACAGCAAATAAGTGAGAAGGGTTTAGGAGGCGCGCGGGGGCGGGGTCATTAAGATGTTCCAATATAATTATTATGATGTAGGCCTAGTATTGGATCATTATATTCGTTAACTGAATGAGCATGGTCTTATTCTCTTAATTTCTTGTTTCTTTTACCATCACCTTTTTTATGACTCACTCTCCGCCCCGCCCCGTCCCGCCCCCCCCCCTCTCTCTCTCTCTCTCTCGCTCTCTCGCTCTCTCTCCACCTTTTATTCCCTCATTCCATTATAGGGGAGCAAGACGTGCCCATTGCACCCCCCCCCCCCCCCCCAAAAAAAAAAAAAAAAAAAACTTTTGATTGATAATATTTTATATCAGGAGCGCCAGGAGGGTCAAATCTGACTGACATGAGCGCTATACAAGAACCCATTATTATTATTATTATATTACATAGCCACCCTAACACGACGAGCTAACAGCTTTTTGTACGGTTTCCCTTTAAAATTCACACCTTGCTATTCAAGTTTGCTATTCATAGTCTTGACAATGAAATCCCTGTACTGGCAGCCGAGTTGATGCGTATCAACAATGCATAACTTTGTTTGCATTCCCTTCATAATATCACAATATGGCTGACTAAATATTATAAACTCTTTCTCTCTCTCTCTCTCTCTCTCTCTCTCTCTCTCTCTCTCTCTCTCTCTCTCTTCTCTCAAGCTCTAGCTTAAGCCCTTTCTTTTTCCCCGGAAATACTTTATGAATTTACCGGCTGCTGAATGTAGCTATTGGTGTATGAAATAGAAACCCTGAATCACTTTTTATTGTTTGCGAATATGACTAAATAAACAGTTTTGTGTTTGTACTTGGCGGAGCGTTATATTAAGCAAGGCCGGCCGTTCTTTTATAAGAGAAAAATGAAAAGACTGGATTCTATTCAAAACGTTTCCAAATGGAACATGAGCTCTGAGCAATGCTTTCAACGAAAAGCAGTATTCGTCATATTTATATAATTGATGGGAATTCATTAAATTGGTTTTGCTCTAAAAAATGAAACTGTTAAATGACGCGCACTGTATTACCATTTTAAAAATATATAATGGCTTTTACTCATGTAAGTTTTGTAAGGTTTGACCCTTTTTAGGTTCTATTAGATATGAGAGGCATATCGCTTTGCAGTGTTTCTAAAGGTTATGAGAAACGTTTATTCAGTGTCCCAGTTTTTTCGACATGCAAGGAAACTTCTTTTGTAATACTCCTCTAAAGAGCTAAAGAAGCTGGCAAGGACTTATTCTCCACATTCTATTTAGCAATTCTTTTTTTTTTCACCGCAGATGTCCGGGCATTTCAAAATTAAAGCAGGCATTATTCGCAGCATATCCACCCAGATTCTGCTCGCGCTTGTGACAAAGAATGTTCAGGGAAAGAAAATTCGTATTATCCACTATGTTTCTGAAGAAGCTACTAAGAGCATGTCCATTCTTCGACGATCGTAGCATAACATTTTATGTTTGTCTAGATTTTAATTTAAAAAACCTCTCGGGGGAAGAAAAAACTTCATGAATACAGCAAATGTTATGCCGGTTTGTTTGCTCTGATACAAAGGGTGTTTATTTATAAGGCAGACAGAAAATATCTCATTTAGTCCTGTAGGGGCGTCCCTACAGGGGGTTACAACCCCATTCCAAATTCCTGTCGGCAAATTTCGCATTTTGCAAATCTTGTCAGCAAGATTGGAATGAATAAATCTTGAAATCAATTTTTAAAGAAACATTGTATTCTTATTGGAAAATTTCCCTTTATCTTTGTGGAAAATTGTGAAATCTGAGGACGCTTTTTACAAATTTCGTTGCAACTTTGTACGCAGATTCGATGCGACGCCGCTCCACCCCCCCCCCCTCCCGAATTCAAATATAGCTACGCCCTTATGCTCTACATGATATACAGACCTAACAGAAAGCGTGCCCGGATTCCAATACGTGCATTGAGACGCATCCTTTTCGAGGAATACTAGCGTGGTTTCGATTTTATTCTTCTTAATCCATTGCTTTCGGTTTATTCGTAATTAATTCTATATGGGCCACCGTCTGGATCCTTTTATTAGTTTTAGTTTCCTTCACATGTGTATAAATATGTATATATATATATATATATATATACATAGCTTATAGTATGTATAAGCTATATATATATATATACATAGCTTATAGTATGTATAGTATGTATAAGCTTATAGCTTATAGTATGTATAGTATCTATGGAGGACCTGCTTATCAGGAAGAACCTACGATGGACAGGCCATGTCATCAGGATGCCCTCTGAGAGGTTACCAAAGCAAGTACTAATCTCGCAACTACCCGCTGGCGAAAGAGGGATTGGTCGTCCACGGCTTCGCTACAAGGACACGATCAAGAGGAACCTTAAGCGGAGGCAAATTGAAACCAAGACTTGGACAACTGCTGCAGGCCAGCGAGCTGTATGGAGAGCAGCTGTAAAGTGAAAATGAAGGCGGTCATTGTCGCTTCGCGACAGACAGCTACTACTACTACTACATAGCTTATAGTATATTACAAAAGGAGTCAAAGCAGCTATCAAGTCCATATTGATTTATTGCTTGATGAGGTGACGTTTAAGAGTGGTTAAAATTAAAGAAATAAAATAATAGTGAGTGAAAAAAAAAGTTTCGGTTTGATGTCTTCACATTATTCGTCATACACATACCACATTAAATGCATTTATATGGGCGTGTGCAAAAAGTTGATTATGATTATTATGTATATAATAATTATGTTAGAACATCACAATGGGAATGAGGTATAAAGGGAGCGACGTGAATCCATCACATAGCCACCTCGCCTTTTCACTTTGCTCAATCTACTGTGAATCATTAAGGTGTACCATTGTGACCACGCCCAGTTCTTAGAAGGGTGGAAGAGTCACCCTCGGAATACCCGGTGAATCACTAACCTCCCACAACAGAACTGTAGTCCAGGCTCCTTGATATATCCCTCATTTCCCATCTCTCTCTCTCTCTCTCTCTCTCTCTCTCTCTCTCTCTCTCTCCTTCTCCTTCTCCTCGTCCTCTCTTATCTCATAAATCTCCCTCTCTCCTCTTCTCTAGCACGAGCTCTTCTTTTCTATTTCCTCTCCTCTCTCCATCCCCTTCTCTCTCTCACTCTCTCACTTCAGACTCTTCCCTCTTGCCTATCACCTCTCTACTTCTCCGTCTTTTGCAATCTCTCTCCCTCTCTCTCTCTCTCTCTCTCTCTCTCTCTCTCTCTATCTCTCTCTCTCTCTATCCAATCTTTTACCCCCCCCCCCCACCCCCTCCACATCCATTTTCCGTGAGAAAATTAATGAAGACTGACAGTGACTGATGAACAGCAAATCCGCGTATCCAATCTTACTCTCGTTATTCGAGTTTCATAGCTCAAAGACGAAGGGATTATCTTCCAATTAGACAATCAATAAATCATTCTTCCCGCTTCACTTACAATCTGAGCTGAGTAGCTTACGTGATGTTAAGGTTGCATCTACTTCGGATCGTTGAGTTTAGTATGATAATATACGGAGGTATTAAATCATACAATGTGATAGGTAATTACGTTATAAAAGCTATAATGTATGCAGAAGATAATTATATTGAATGAGTTATACCACAGGAATTTATTGAAAATGAATGCTTGCCAAACCGATATGAATTCAAGCAAATAGAAATATTTGGGATGCCCCAAATTATATCTAATCTAGGTCGAATTTGAATATTTTATTTACCATGATCAATTAATGCAGTTTGTTTACAGACCCACCCCTATCCTAACTAGTCATTATATTTTGCTCGATAAAACAAAAAGTTTATTATTTAAAAAAGACACCACGCCACAAGTTATCATCGTGCACAATACACGTGGAGCTAGTAAGTGTAATAATCATGATGATAAGGATATTCCAAGATTGTAACGGCACTCGATCTTCAGACGGATGTTACAAAACCACATGAAGCATTGAGGACTTTAAAAAAAGCACTCTCAGTTTCGTCATGGTCTCATTCAGCTATCATACATAGATTTAGCCATTATCTGCGGACACCCATTCACACCCTACGCACACACACCCTACGCACACGCACCTAAACAGAGGCTTTTTATTTGGACTATGATTCACGTGTAGTAGGTAGGCAGAGGATACCTTCTAGCCTCGTCAGACAGTAGTCATAATTATTTATACAGTGCACCCTTCCGTGACTCACTGCATACCGGGAACGTACATTTCAATAATCTAACTTTTTGACTCCTGAAACTCGACGGAAATCGGAGTACAATACCAGATACAACTCCGGCGGACTGTATTGCTCAGGGGATCATCGCTGCTACACCTGTTTTGGGTGGAATTATTGCTTTGTAATCCTGGATCTTAGTTTTCGCATGCACAGGTGTGAAACAATCTTCGTCATGACTATTATTGTGTAAATATTGGACTTTCTTCATGTTACTATTGGAGTGCTTTCGGATAACTTTGAGTAGCATGAATCGCACGCATTGATATCACTGTGTTTTGTCGGAGTCTATTTGGATTACCGTTTCAATTGTGAATCAATTTATTTGTATAAAGTTCCTGTTCAGCGTTGTACTATTAAGCGCAATACAATTTGGAAGTCATGGATGAAATCATACCTCACGATTCATTTCAAGAGGTTCCTACCAAAGGGGAACCGTCATCGGTTATGATGTCCGCCGTGAATACTAGTACGGTCTCCAATTACGACATTGAAAACAGTACGAATAACGTGGTCGTCATCATGTCGACACGGACTTCAACATTAAGTTCGACATCAAGTTCGTCATCGGTAGCCAATAGGACGTCGATGATGAATCTTTCGACACCGAGCCCGTATATTCCAGATGAATTTGTATTAGAGAATCGAATGTACTTCGTGCCTTTGATAACACTCATACTCGTCATCGGAATCGTCGCAAACATTCTTGCCATCGTCGCAACGCGCCACGCCATCAGCAAATACAGAACTCATCGGAGTCGGAAGGTGACCATTGCTAGCTATTTAATACAATGTCTTATGATGGTCGATCTCAGTGCCGTGCTCGTCTTCTTTGTACGTGGAATGTTCTATAGTTTGTATAATGACCTTTATTTTGAGTGCGACCTCAACTCGGTCACGAATTATTTCTTCTCGTGGTCGGCGGGGTTCATCAACGCTATCATGTGCTTGGAGCGATGTATAGCATTATCCGCGCCGTTCTACTATCACAGCAACGCAACCATCAGCAAGGCAAGGATCGCCGTCATTGTCGTACTCGTTCTCGCCTTCCTCATAGCGATGCTGCCCATCATTGGCTTCGGGTCTTACACGACTCTCATCAACGGAACTTACTACTGCATCGGCCCTGGAGATTTCACGCTCGAAGAATCGGGCTTCGATTTCCCCTTTGGTGTTCTCTTTTTAGTGACCGGCCTCGGCATCCTTATCTTCATTCATTCGTGCAACGTCATCGTAATAACGAAAATAATTCAGATCCGACAACGTGCATTACCCATGCGAAGACATGTTAAGAAATCAGAGGCGACCGACGGGATGAGTACGAAATCGGCTCGGTCAACGAAAGAAGAGACGTCGTTCATAAACGGAACATATGAAACGACGTCGTCCAGTACTAGTGCAGCAGGGAATAACGATATACCTGATGGCGATGTTGGACACCATTCACCGCTGCGTGGAGGTCGGCGACCTAAAATAAAGAGACCTGGAAGAACGGAGATTAGAGTCGCCAAGCAGATCATCGTCATCTCAATCGTATTCACGATTTCCTGGTTGCCATTCTATGTAAGTATTTCACGATTTTCTCATGCCATTTTAGAGTGTCTTTTTTTCTTGTTACTTCACAAATAAAAATCACATGTTGGAGCATGGACTCCCCGGCCGGGGGCAGAAAATCCGAAAAATCTCAGAAAAACAACATCAAGGTACGGGGTTACATATTTCAGGTTCCTTTTCTGGGGGGTGTTTCACAAAGGCTAAGGTCGACTTTAAGTTGGACTTAATTATAACAGGCTATGCATGCCACTTGTTGCTCTCACCATTGATCTCTCAATTATGATCTTTGCATAATATCTTTTCCTTCAATAATGAACTATCAACAAATGTAAATTCTGTAGATTTGTGATTACGATTTATACGTCCCTTCAGAGACCAATGCCAGTAAATGAGAAGAGCAAACAGTGGCATAGTTAAGTCCAACTTGAAGTCGATCTTAGTCTTTGTGAAACACCCCTGGTCCTATTTGTTGATGGGCCACTAATAGAGGGGTACTTTCTTATGTATCATAGGTTGGATTTTGACGCGGACACGTGCCCCCTGCATAGTACAACCTAATTGATAATCTTCAAAGCGTCCCCCCCCCCCCCATACCCGTCGCGCCTCCCCTTTTCCATCCCTTCCAACAAATGGCATAACAAATTATCTAAACTTGATTATTTCTTTGGTAACAGCACGAACAACAAAATAACGTATCGAACCTCATACTTGATTTTCTTTGGCTGCCTTGCCTTGGGAATTAGGTGGCTAAGAAAAAAGAAGTAAAAGATTTCTATCCGTGACTTCCGCTTTTTCCGAAAACACCAGGTAACCAGCGCCAGGTAACAAAAGAAAATCTAGACATGAAAAAAGTAAACGATCCTTAGATTCAGTTGCGGGGGTGCACATACACAATAATAATGAAGGCTAATGGCTATACAATTCACATTGAAGGTTCCAACCTGCGTCAATATTATTATGATTTGACAATGTAAGGAAATATTCTTTCATCACACTGTAAATTTACAAAGGCTGATGATTTTTCACACATAAACAGATGTGAATGAAGTCGCCGTATTTTATAACAAACTTCCTCATTCGATGATGTGGGTATCATGACTATGAGTTTGTTTTAAAGGTATACTGGGTATACAACTATTATTAATGCATGTTTTATCATTATCATCATAAGACATCATTCTGTAAGACAGCCACTGGTCGGTGCCAGCTCAGTAAATGAATAAAATAAATTGCATTGATAATTGGAAAAAAGAGACATGTTCCTCTTTATTGCCGGAAGTTAAAACTTGACCTTCTCAAACCTTTAGAGAAAATCGATCCCGAGTTAGTTAATGCTGGTTACTTTATGTAGCTATGATGACCTGACAAAAACTATCGGAAGTCGGATATCATTACATCATCAATTTCCATCCCAAAAAGGGCTGCATAGTACAACACGACCACAATTTTGATGATTGATAACCTTCATAACGCACTCTGTTACTCTGTAGTAGGCCCTACTGATTTTGATTATTTTGTTGTGTGTGTCATTTTTCTCCTTCACGGCTTCACCCCTGCCCCTCTATTTTTACTTCTTTTTCTTCATCTTCTTCTGTTTTAACCATTGCAATAATTTAAGCGAATATCCAGCAGTTGTTGAAATGTTGAATCGGGTTTGGTTTCAAATCATAAGTATAATATGAAATAAGTCTTATTTTGATAAACAACAATGAAATTTTATGTACCATAAATGTAATTCTTCGTAATTACGGCCACACCATACTATTTGGAACACTCTCGTAGTTACCGCCATATTTTCATTTTTCCGAGCTGATGAAGTTGGGATATGTTAATATTTGCTTTCAATCAGAAACAAATATCTCGTTTTGTTTATATAAAGTATACCTTGGCGACACGTGACGTGTTGGCATTGACATTTTCTCTGGTATGCCAATCACTTACTAATAAATACACCGTTGCCTATAAAATTTGATTTATTTTGTTTGTATACCACTTTCGTTGAGGTGATTGTGAGAACGTAATTCATTATTGAATAGATAGCATTTATGACTTATGATAGTCTCTATGTCTTTTACGAATAATTAATAAAGCTCAGAGAACGTGTTAACTTCATCTATCAAGAATAAATCATGTTCTAAAAATCACTTAATGAAAAGAGGTATAAATTAAACTTGATGGGCAGTAATGTTATAATGAAAGTATCGCTGTGAAGCTCTTGAACATCGTTAGTGTTCATGTAAAGTGAATGTATATTCGTCTTAAAGGGAAGGTCGAGTTTTGTTAAAGGTCAAAATGATTTGAGAACTTTCTCATTATTTCCATGTGAAAGATCATTGTAGAAAAGATTCATTGAACGGAGTTCTCTTGAAATGCCCTTAAATCACAAATGTATAATTTTTTGGACCAATTTTTGGTACCACATAATTATGGGCGTACATAGTCCCATTTATGTTGATTCCTTTATATTTCTTTCTCTGTTTCAGTTGTTTCTGTTCTCAAGTCTGCCTAAAGTATTTTTTCTTTATACCTATTTCTATTTTGTATCATACATACATATTGATATTTATATAACGCCTTTACATAAAACATGCTCAAAGCGCTTTACATTTTAAAATACAAACAGAATAATTATATGCTCTCCAAGTGCATTATACTCTATCCCTATCTCTTCTTCTCTCTCTCTCTCTCTCTCTCTCCCCCCCCCCCTCTCTCTCTCTCTCTCTCTCTCTCCCGCTCTCTCCCCCTCTCTCTCTCCCTCTCTCTCTCTCCCTCTCTTCTTTTTCTCTTTCTTTCCCCCTCTTTCTCTCTCTCTCTCTCCCTCCTTCCCTCAATTCCTCCGAGTCCATTTCCCTTTCTCCCATATTACTTTAATTGTCTGCTTCTATTGAAACCACTAATTTAATATCAGAATACATGGTCTTCCCCTTTAACCTTTCTTATGATATATAAAATTTGCATTAAACAGGATGTCTGTTACCGGGAAGGACTCAACTTTCGTGTTTATGAAACATTATCCTTGTCGCTCTGCATGACGACATTTCCTTTAACTTCCGCTGTATCCAATTAATAGGGACTTTTAGATTTACGTGGACTGATACGTGTGACGTCCATTCACGGCAGTGCATTAACAGGACGTCGATCGTAGCATAGACCTATTGTCTTCGTGCGAATCTAAAAGTCCCTATTGTATACTTCTTGTACAGGTAGTTTGCACCAAACGAACATAAAACCAAAAAATAGTTCGTTGACCCAGTTTTTAAGAGGATACTACTATTTACCACATTCTCGTTCTAAGTAGCCGTAAATTGTTTCCCATTCGTAATATTACTATTAATTCTTTCCGAAGTATTTATTGTATTTCTTTCCGGAAAAAGTGAAATATCATTCACTGTGAATAAACAACCCTTTCTGCCGCACCACATCCTTTCGACAAAAGCTTCCTCAAAATGTTTCATGGAAATGAGAAGTTAACAATGAATTGCATGGTTTTTCCTAATACGTGTTTGACCCAGATTGATATGCATAAAGGTAGCATTGTTTTCATATTGATTTGTTAGTCTAATATCAAGGAAACATGATTTGGATTCCCATCCAGCCCATTTTAGACGGAAATATGTTAGTCTATACATGTATGCTTGAGACCAGTGTAGTTTGGGTCGAGATCTCAAGGTCTGAGACCGAGACCGAGAACAAGACCTTCCCTTTCGATCCCGAGACCGAGATCTCTAGATCCCTTTCGAGTCTGAGATCTCTAGAGACCAAGACCGGGGACCCGTTTCACAAAGCCTTTTTACAATGACAAATGATATAAATCAGTGACAAATCTGCTGATAACCAATCAGAAGCAAGGATTTTAGTAGCTTATAACGAAAACTGTCATTTGCCACTGATGACAAGTTTTGTGGAACACCCCCTGGTCTCGAGACCGGATACAAAGAGGCAGCTCCGGACTCGGTTGTGTGAATATGTTCGTCTGGATAACAGACCTTAAGCTCGATCAAGGATAGACAACAATAAACACAACAAGAGAGACAACACCTGACACGTGCCATACAGACCTTGCTCCTGGTTAATGTCCGCCACCGCCCGAAAGTAGAGCGATCTCTTAGCCAAGAAGGGAGGAACTGTGCGGGCATAAAGAACACAAGTGACGACTATACTAAGAAACTAATAACTTGTGATGCAGACATTGCTAAGCTTTGAACGCCAATAGTAGACTAGCATCTCATGATTATGCTTTCAGTATTTTTTCTTGCAGGTTTTCCATGGCACCTTTTACATGCCCATTTTATTGCCATTCGTTTTTTAAATAAATTTTCTCGTTTTCGTGTATTTTCTGATATACTTTTCTGTTTACAGATCAAGGGGTAATTGTCCTCGGGGGTAGTTGTCCTCGAGGGGTAATTAGGGACTTTTAGATTCGCACGAAGACAATGGGGATTGATACGGTCGACGTCCTTTTAATGCACTGCCTTGAATGGACGTCACAGGTATCAGTCCACGCAAATCTAAAAGTCCCTACTGTCCTCGTGGGTAAATTGTCCTCGGGGGTAGTTGTCTTCGAGGGGTCATTGTCCTCGTGGGTAAATTGTCCTCGGGGGTAGTTTTCCTCGGGGGTAGTTGTCCTCGGGGTAATTGTCCTTGGGGGTGGTTATCCTCGAGGGGTAGTTATCCTCGGGGGGGTAATTCTCCGGGTGGTAATTTTCCGGGGGGGTGATTGCCCAGGGGGTAATTGTCGTAGAACCGAGACCTGGTCTTGAGACCGGCTATAACGATGCAGCTCCAGACTCGGAAGTATTAATATATTCGTCTTGATAGCAGACTATAGGCTCGATCGAGAATAGACAAAAGAGAGACAATAATTGGAGAGCGTGTTAATTGATGTTCAAATTAGTTACAATGGTTACCTCGGAATCAAGACAGTTTTGAAAGGTTTTTGAATTGAAGAGTTAAAGTGGTTTTCTACAAGTGGGTAAAAATGTACCAGTAAGAAATGATTATAAGCGTGC